CCATCCACTGCTCCTACTTACACATCCACTTCTCTACTGACTGACACCGTCCACTGCCCCACTGACACCAGCCTCTCCACTGCACTGCTGACACCGTCCACTGCTCTATTGACACCAGCCTCTGCCCTACTGATACATCCACTGCTCTACTGATACTGTCCGGTGCCGTACTGATACTGTCCACTGCCCTACAGACACTGTCCACACACCATCCACTGCCCTACTGACACTGTCCACACACCAGCCACTGCCCTACTGACACTGTCCACACACCCAGCCACTGCCCTACTGACACTGTCCACACACCATCCACTGCCCTACTGACACTGTCCACACACCATCCACTGCCCTACTGACACTGTTCACACACCATCCACTGCCCTACTGACACTGTCCACACACCATCCACTGCCCTACCGACACTGTTCACACACCATCCACTGCCCTACTCACACTGTCCACACACCATCCACTGCCCTACTGACACTGTCCACACACCATCCACTGCCCTACTGACACTGTCCACACACCATCCACTGCCCTAGTGACACTGTCCACACACCATCCATTGCCCTACTGACACTGTCCACACACCATCCATTGCCCTACTGACACTGTCCACACACCATCCATTGCCCTACTGACACTGTCCACACACCATCCACTGCCCTACTGACACTGTCCACACACCATACACTGCCCTACTGACACTGTCCACACACCATCCACTGCCCTACTGACACTGTCCACACACCATCCATTGCCCTACTGACACTGTGCACTGCTCTACTGACTGATGCTGTCCACGTTTAAGGTAGGCTAAGTTCCTATTTTTACAGTGACATTTGTTTTATTAATCTAAGCTTATTTTATGGGTACAAGAATGCTTTTGTTTGTTTTTTTTTAACCATGCCCTTTTAAGCCTCTCCCACACAATTTGACCACACCCACTGTTCACCACAGCACACATGCAACACATTACTGCTTTTCTTGGGGCACCCAAAGGTTTCCCCGGTCTTTTACTACCTGTATCTAAGAACAGAATGACAGGGGACGCAACCTGATCACTCTAGCATGGATTGCCTTCCTTGCTTAGCATGATCAGCTTACTACCATGAAGTGGAGAACTGGCAAGATTAACCAGATAATACTGAAGAACTACAACCACAAACTATTAATAAAAAATATATATCCATAAAGAAAAATACATGTAGATTTTTATTTTTATGGTACAAACACAGCTAAAAGGATAATTTGTGTCCTGCAGCACCTAATGCCTAATGCACGGAACACTGGTTGAGAATGACTGTTTTAAAGAGACACTGTCACCTTGCCCATTCAGGACAAAGTGACAGTGTCTGTGCAAAGGCGCTCCCTGACCAAATAATACTCACCTTACAGTTCTCTCCTGTTGTTCCAAGTCATAAAGGAGACTCTGAATTGATCAGTCTTTTTATTCTCACCTATGCACTTCAATAGAAAATGCAATGCCCATATCTCCCGAAGACATTGGGTATTCAACTTCCATGAAGTTCGGATGCTGAACCCGAACCCCTTTGTAATCAATGGGAGCCGAATCTGTCAAATTAAAAATTCCTGCTTTCTGGGTTATGAGGTAAGGGGATGTCAAAAAATAGCATTAGAATAGGGGGTACTGCCCTGGGGAACAATACTTAAAGTGAAACATTAAAAATTCCAAATGTTGGAATACAGTGTTCCTGTAGTTTATGGAACTGCAGATTACAGACTACAGATATGTTCAGCCAGTAGATGGCAGTGTCTATAAATTTGTAGCTGCATCTATGATAGAACTCTGGGTCTCTTCTGTGTAATAAAGTTCCTGTTTTCTGTTAGCAGAGAAGAAGCAGATAAACACATGTGGACTGTGCACTGTCTGTTCTGTAGGGTTATGTACAGGATCTCTAACACCAAATTCCTTTACAGAACATGCGTGCGAGTGCCGTAATCATGCATGTGAAGGGGCACACCTCTTTGATATACAGCAACAGCACTGACATTTACAAAGTAAAAAAGCATTTGAAGTTGCAGCTGCAGCCCAGATCTTGGCACCATTTCATTAAGCTGGTGATCAACTGTTTTGTAAAAGTGATTCAGGCAGCTTTCCACCCCAGCTCCTCCCCCTCTTGCCACCACCCTTGGTGGATTCCGGGCTCACCTGTTCCCCTTAGGGGCCCTGGACTGTGGTAAGTGGTTAGGACAGCTTCCCACAGAGGAGATGAAGGAACATCCATTCCCAGATCTCCTCTGTCACAAATGGAGCTGGTGGTGACCATTATCTAGTCACTGCTAGTTTCAGAGCTGTCATTCTCTGGCTGTTACCGTGACCGCATGAGTGCCAAAAAATCTGAATCAACACTCTGCACAATGCTATGCACCTTCACACATTTCTAGAGAACGTTGCATAAAAAAATAGGGATTTTTAGTTCACATGCATTGCAATTTTAAGAAGCTGGCCAACTGCATTTCCCGCTCTGACATGTCCACCTTTGCCATGAGATAGAGATTGTGAGGCCTTTTCACCCATCCAGTCAGAGACATTTTGAACAAACTGCAAAGGTCAATGGCCCCTGTGCCGAGCAAGTGAGGGACCCGGAAGACAGCTATGTACAGCTATTACAGTGATTCTCCACTTGCACGGGGATTGACCAGGCAAGAAATATTCATACTTAAATTAGTCCATTCGTGACCACTAAAGCAATGCAAGAAAAACATCCCTGGAATTCAGCTTTAAATACAGGTTTTCTCATAGTAGTAAATTATGGTGGTAACTTGGCATGTAGTTCTCAGCATGGAATGTCCAACTAACATATATGATGGTGTCTGTCAATAATATGAACACAGCAGTTTTTGTGAGCCCCCTGTAAGATATCTTTATCGATTTCACCCCACAGAAAACTGATATTACTAAAATAAACATTAAAAAAAAACTACCTGACTGATCGCCAGCACCAAAATGTGTAACAACACCACAACTCCATTCATAGAATTAATACGTAAATATCTGCAGCGATCTCTCATAAAAGACCCAATGATTCCTATCTAATTCATAATTAAGTACAGTACCTACACTCCTTTTGTGCAATAATAAAAACATGTAAAAATAATAAACAATCCTGGCCGTCTCAGAATGCTAGTTTCATGTGATAGCCAATAATTCATCCATATAAAGCTGTCAATAGTGCAGGAAAAGGGGATCAATTCATTAAGACATCCATATATAAAAATAAAAAAGTGAAAATTCATGGAACAAATCAAGATATGTGAATAAATCGAAAAACTGCAAAAATTCATCAACAAAAAAGTCCCATAATGCTGTTTATGAACTGGTAACCCTGCCACATATCCCAGGAGGCCACAGGAGCCCATTCACAGATCGTCTGGGGGAGGGGGAGGTGTTAGTGCCCAGGAAGAGCAGGCAGCTGAGGAAGACCAAAAACTGTCACACCTGAGCAACAGATCTCTGCAGGACACTGCTGGAGCCTCTGGGCAGGTGAGGATGTTTTTTTCACGAGAACTCTGATTAAAAGGTAAGGAGTGATGAGGGAGATAAGTGGGGGGATATGATGGGGGTGACAAGTGGGGTGGGGGCAGTGATGTTGTCTATCTCCAGATTTTATGGCTTTTTCCAAATGTAAATGCTCTTTTTGCTGGACAGCTCAGGAAGTGGAAAAATGAATGAATAATCCATTTTTTTTGCATTGTTTACATTGTGGTGTATCGCGGTTCGGTCACGAGTTTGGGTGAGAAGGTCTGGGGTCTAACGCCGCGATCGTGACATGTTGTGCTAATTAATTTTGTACCTCAACCCATTAACCCCCCACTTATACTAGCCCTTAAATCTGTATCCAATCAGACAGGCCCTTCAGCTACAGTTATTAGTAGATCTAAAGGAGATTGTACCGGCAGATTGTAAGGTGTGTAGTGAGCCTAAAACTATCCTATATGAGAAGGGGTGTTTTCTGAATGCAGTGGGACTGTGTGAGAAATTATAAGTTGTGCCCTAAACAAGGGAGAGCCATGCCACACTCCAGACACCCCCCCCCACAACATACACTTTGTAGCGGTAAAGTGGAGTGCTGTGCCAAGTGGTGGGTGTGGCCAGATTGTGCAAACAGCGGGAGGGTCTTGGGGGACATATTTAAATAAAATGTAACAGCCATGCATAAAACTCAGCACAATCATTAAAACAAAGTAAACCTTTCCTGTTACATGTGCTTTTCAGTCTACCTACAGAGGAACTTCATAAAATAATCAGTGAATGCTTAGTAACCTTAACATCAGAGGCCCCCACCCCCCTTCCTTACATAAGAAGTCCCTCCTTCACATCTATACCCCCCCTCACATCAGAGGTCCCCTGGTCACACAACAGCCTCCTCCCTTCACATCAGAGCCCTCCTTCACATGAATAGTCCCCCTTACAGAAGTCCCCTATTCACACAGCAGCCTCCCCCTTCACATCACAGCCCCCCACCCTCCAGATCAATAGCCCCCCTCACAGGAGAAGTCTCCTATTCACACAGCAGTCTCCCCTCCACATCAGTAGGGCATAAAACCACATAGTTGAGACTTTTTTCTTTTTATCACCAACCACTAACCACTGGTGTAGCGTCAGTCGTCGCAATGCTGACCCCATCCCATGCTCCAGGGGGCCCATGCGGCCTCCCTTTCACATTCTATTTTACACTTGGACAGGAGGGGTGGACAAGGGCAGCATATACAGGAACCGATGCTCTCCATTTTCTTCCTGCAACTGCTGAACGCCGGCTTCTCCTCCTCACCCTGGCATTCAGCAAATGCAGGAGGAAAATGGTCATTATGCTATTCAAAATAAAAAATTTGAAATTCTGAACCATTTCATTTCATTGTGGCCTGTGACCGGTTACAAGATCACTTAAGTGACCTTCACTCTTTAAATGGTTGAGCACCCCTGATGTAAGGTAACACAATGATTTACCTTGTACCTGTTCCTGTATTTTTAGGAGACCTTGAAGGAAAAGTGAAATTGCTGGACAAGTCACAGAAATTCAAGCAACTCCAGGAAGTGATTGTGTGGCCCTGCTTGTGGGAGAGAGATAAAAGATTTTTTATGCCAGAGGTATTCCATACATTTTCATGTGTGTTGAACACTAAATTGTGAGGTTAAAGCTGAACTCCAGGCAAATGGCCAAATGCATAGATGAAATACAGATTTGGGAACTGTTTTATCTGCCTAAGTATTTATTTGTATTTCATCCACTCCTGGGATTCACACAGCTCTGCCACTGACTGTGCACTGCCAGGCAGGGGAGACAACCTTATTTTCCTTTGCTTTGCTGTTCAGGACACTTACAGGTCTCATAACCTCCCGAGTCTATTACTGTATGGTGAATGGAGAAGAGGCAGACTGATGACGTCTCTGTCACTCTGCTCTATCCTCCAAGCAGCTTGTTCCTTACACTAAAGCACAATTGATTTGCTTCTTTTTTCCACTCTGAGATGTGCTGTACAGGGACTGCAAGATGCTGATTCCAGGTCAAATACAGGTACTTATTATAATGTTTGCTAAATACATTAAATGTATTAAGGAATACAGAGCTGCTTCAAAGCAGTATTTAAACCCCAAAGCAAAATGTATTGTATTGCAGCTTATAATTCTTAGATGTGAAGGCTGTATTAGTTTCCTTTTTTAGGCTTTCTTTCTTATATTTGTATCTGTTGATTCAGCCAGCAAGTCTGCTGTTTTCAGAAGTGCAAGCTCTCCAGTATATTTCAGTTTTCACGGATGAGACCATTAATTTACCAGCTATTATTTATTCATGTAAAACCTTTATCCCAAAGGGAACTGTTTGCTGTAACTGATCCTAAAGGGTTAGCTAGAGTTTGGCTTCAATTTGTTATTGTATTCAAATCTGCTAATATATTTAACACTCCCATCCCTCCAGATGGGCAATGCTGCTGTCTGCTGTGCCTCCTGTACTCATTCCTCCTAAGTGGTGTCTCACTAATAGGTGTGTAACTAGCCAGATCACAAGGTGAAAACAGAGGGGAAAAAGCCAAAGAAAAAAAAATGTATGCATCCACCACATCTAATGTTAATGGTAATCTGCAATATAATACATAATTGTTTTGGGTTTAATATTGCTTTAATTGGTGCCTTTTATATTTGCTTGGAGTTCAGCCTTAAAGTGTTACTAAACCCACAACAGTAAAATCAGTCTGTATATGTAGATAAGCATGCTTGTTATACTCACTGTGAAACCTAAGGGGTAAATCCTCCATATTGTGTAAAAAGGCTGTTTGATGCTGTCTTCTCTGATCCTCCCCTTCTTCTACTGTCCCCAGTCCATCGGCTGATAGTACAGAGCTCTAGCTTATGCTCAGTTTAGTGTGTATGGCTAGAGAGGTTTTTTTTGTATTCTTGGTAGGGTGCATGTGATCAGCACAGGGCCAAGCAGCGCTGTAAAGACAGAGGGTCAGGGGTTATGCAGCATTATAGGACAGTCAGAGCAGAATGAAAACCCCTCCTCCTACAAGCTTTAATCAGTGCTCAGCTGGACACTGATAGATGTCACAAGACTGCTATATACGGATTATGAGAGAAAAGGTATTTAGCAGTGATTGCTGGTGCTTGTAGTGGGTCTTGCTAGCAGCTTTTGCTTTTTAAAACACTTTTTCTGTCACTTTTTAAATAACATTTTTTCCCCTTTCCTTCCTTCAGTCTACTGATTAAGGGGAGGGGTTAATTGGTCACAGGTGCTGCAGGTACTATATAATTTTCTGTAGAGCTCACTCTGAGCTTGCCTGTATTTTGCTTGCTGGACCTTTGACAAAGTTTACATTTTATTAAGCAGAGTTAAAAATACCGGAGTTGAAAACAAGAGTGTAAGTGACAACTGATCTTTCCTGTTAATATTGTAACTGGGATAGTGTGTGCTAGCAGAGTTGAAGGTTTTGTGCAGTGTACAGCATGTATGCAACAATGGAGCAACAGCTCCAGGATGGATACCGCTGTGACAGATGTGAGCGGCTTGCCCTTCTGGAAGCTCACATTAGAGATCTGGAGGAGCAAGTTGCAACACTGGGCAGAACTACACAACCTTGAAGGGGTCTTCTGCTCTCTGAGCAGGTAGCTAATGGGATTGATGTGGAGGGCGGAGGGGCTAATCAAGATTATCACGAAGATGGGTTACTGTAGAGAGAGGGAGTGGTAAGGGCTCACAGAAAAGGAAAGCTGGCCCTGGGTTTGAGCACCAAACAGATGTGCCAAGTTGGGTGAAGATATGGAGGTGGCAAGCTCAGGGGTGGCAGCCCTGGATGTCACTGCTGTCCTTAACAGCTGGGAGGGCAGACCATCTGGGAGGGGTGGTGAGGGTAATGCAGGAAGGCCTAGACAGCTGGTGGTAGTAGAGGATTCCATGATCAGAAGGACTGATACAAAAACTGTAGCTGCTGACTTTTAAAATACAGCCACTTACCTGCCCCTTGGTCCAGTGGTGTCCTCACCACCGCTGGTTTCACTGGCCGTCTTCTCTCCCTGGTGCCAGCATCTTCAGTGTGAAGCACCAGGCTGTGACAGTGTGAGGCTTTACAGCCAGGTGCCAACTGCGCATGAGCGAGAAGTGCTGCGCTTTGTGAATGGCCTTGCAGTCTTCTGGTACCTGTCACGTATCCCAGAAGACTACAGGGAGGGAGGGAAGACCACTTCCGATTCTGATCGCCTAGGCGATCGCAGCGGAAGTGGGTGCGGGTACCCCCCCCCCCCGCTCCCTAAAGGTGGCAATCCTTAATGGGGAGTGGGGGACAAAGCATTAAAGCTGAACTTCCCCTTTTGAGTGGAACTCCGCTTTAAAGAACTAGGCTGCAAGTTGAAGGGAAGGACCTCCATGGTGATATTATCTGAAATATTACCTGTGCCATGCGAAACTCAGGAAAGACAGGGGAAGATTAAAGAACTAAATGCATAGCTAAAGACCTGGTGTAAGAGGGAAGGATTTGGGTTTCTAGAGCACTGGGCTGACTTTTCATTGGGATGCAACCTATATGCTAGAGATGATTTTCACCTAAATGGAAGAGGGTCTGCTGTGCTGGGGGAGAAGTTTGAGACGGCTGGAGGAGTGTTTAAACTAGGACTGAGGGGGGAGGGAGAATTAGATTATATTGGGGCAAACAGATTAGACAGGGGTCAGTCCTTATTGGTGGGTGGAATGAAGAAAGATGGGGGGAGGGCTATGGCAGGTGATAAGGTTCCCATGTTACAAACAACAATTGAAATTGGTACCATTTGTACAAAAATAAAAAATATGCAAAATACGTGTGAACAAGGTGTCAATGAATTAAAGTGTTTGCTCACCAATGCCAGAAGTCTGCCAAGCAAAATAGGTGAGTTGGAAGCTTTGGTGCATGAAGAGAACTATGATTTAATTGGTATTGCTGAATCTTGGCTTCATTCTTTACATGACTGGGCCATTAATATTCCTGGCTACATTCTCTTTCGGAGAGAGACAGGGTAGAAAGGAAAGGTGGTGGTGTCTCTCTGTGAGAATGGGTGGAACTGCACATGGGGGTGCTTACTGCAAAGGTAATCATTAGAGTTTGATATAGGCCTCCCGGTGTTAATGAAGAGGTGGAGACTCGGCTCCTTGCACAGATCGAAGGGACTGCAAGGACTGGGACAGTGATAATATTGTGGGATTTTAACTACCCAGAAATGGACTGGAGTATTGGTACTGCAGGTACAGTTAAAGGGCAAAATTGTATAAACCTACTACAGGACAATTTTATGGTACAGTTCATAGAGGCCCCTACTAGGAATGATGCTTTGCTGGACCTGGTAATCTCAAACCATGCGGAGCTTATTACGAATGTCCATATAAAAGAACATCTGGGTAGCAGTGACCATAACATGATTTCATTTGTTATTAGCTGTAAACAGCAAGCACACACGGGAAACATAAAAACGCTCAACTTTTAAGAGAGCTAATTTTCCATGGCTGAGAGCTGCTCTCCAAGACTTAGACTGGGAGGGAATATTAGCATCACAACACAATACAGAAATGGGAGTTCTTCAAAAAGACTGCATGGCAACACACTGCAAAATATATTCCCATGGGCAACAAGTTTAACCACTTGCCCTCCAGAGGATTTACCCCCCTTCCCGACCAGGCCATTTTTGCATTGCGACTCTGCGTTACTTTAACTGACAATTACGCAGTCATGCAATGCTGCACCCAAATGAAATTTACATCTTGTTTATCCCATGAATTGAGCTTTCTTTCGGTGTTATTTGATTGCCCGTGCATTTTAAATTTTTTGCACTATAAAAAAAAAGACCGACAATTTTGAGAAAAAAAAAACAATATTTTTGACTTTTTGCTATTAAACATGTCCAGTAAAATAATTTAAAAAATCAAATTTCGTCATAAATTTAGGACACAATGTATTTTGCTACTTGTCTTTGCTAAAAAAAAATCAGGGATCACATAAATCAGGACCCCACACAGAGGTCCCATACAGCGATCAGTGTTCGGAGGACACAGCAGGCACCCACGGAGCGCGCACAGGCAGTGAATGCAGGAGCCGTTTATAAACGGCCACCCGTTTATGTACATGGGCCGGACGGCAAGTGGTTAAGGTAGAACAGTAGAATAATTCATTTTGAAAATTGTGTTCATGATCTGTATTCTTGTATGCTTGTGTAGACTCTTGGGGCAGACTTACTAAAATTGGTGCACACAGCATCTTATACAGCTGTGCATGGTAGCCAATCATCTTCTAACTTCAGCTTGTTCAGTTAAGCTTTGGCAATAAAATCTGGAAGTTGATTGGTTTCTATGCAGAGTGTACCAGATTTTGCACCAGTTTTAGTAAATTATTATCCCCCTTGAGGTCCCCAGGTAGGCCTGGCATTGGTCAGGAAAATAAGCTTTAATATTATTATTATTATTATAAAAATAGAGAACTCCGTCTCCTTTAACTGTTAACATTTCAGTTCATCTTAAACTTGTTAAACTGGGTTCTTTGCTTTTTGGGTTTCTTTTCTTTTTTAGGGTCTTAAACACTATTTCAAAGATTCAAATGTGGAGACGCTGTTATCTTCACCGAACAGACAGCTTCTTCATGAAGGAAGACTTACCCTTACAGGTGTGTAAATGAACATGATTTTAAAACCTGTCCTCAGGCTTGAGTAAGGCTGGCCATACACTATACAATTTTCTGTCCAATTTCCTTTGGATTTACCTTCCACTATGTAGTGCAAAGGTCTTCCTAATTGGAAAGAATTAAAGTGTTTAGGTTTGACCTCATATTATATGGTTTCTGGCAAATCTAAAGCAAAATTCTCAAGAAAACTGTATAATGTATAGCCAGCCTAAAGGAGCCATCAAACAGTTGTTTTTAACTGTGCAAAAATGTACTGTAAGTAAATCTACAGGTGAAACTCGAAAAATTAGAATAACGTGCAAAAGTTCGTTTATTTCAGTAATGCAACTTGAAAGGTGAAACTAATATATGAGATAGACTCATTACATGCAAAGCAAGATAGTTCAAGCCGTGATTTGTCATAATTGTGATGATTATGGCTTACAGCTCATGAAAACCCCAAATCCACAATCTCAGAAAATGAGAATATTGTGAAAAGGTGCAATATTCTCGGCTCAAAGTGTCCCACTCTAATCAGCTAATTAGGCCATAACACCTGCAAAGATTTCCTGAGCCTTTAAATGGTCTCTCAGTCTGGTTCAGTAGGAATCACAATCATGGGAAAGACTGCTGACCTGAAAGTTGTGCAGAAAACCATCATTGACACCCTCCATAAGGAGGGAAAGCCTCAAAAGGTAATTGCAAAAGAAGTTGGATGTTCCCAAAGTGCTGTATCAAAGCACATTAATAGAAAGTTATGTGGAAGGGAAAAGTGTGGAAGAAAAAGGTGCACGAGCAGCAGGGATGACCGCAGCCTGGAGAGGATTGTCAGGAAAAGGCCAGTCAAAAGTGTTGGGGACTTTCACAAGGAGTGGACTGAGGCTGGAGTCAGTGCATCAAGAGCCACCACACACAGACGGATCCTGGACATGAGCTTCAAATGTCGTATTCCTCTTGTCAAGCCGCTCCTGAACAACAAACAATGCCAGAAGCGCCTTACCTGGGCTAAAGAAAAACAGACCTGGTCTGTTGCTCAGAGGTCCAAAGTCCTCTTTTCTGATGAGAGCAACTTTTGCATCTCATTTGGAAACCAAGGACCCAGAGTATGGAGGAAGAATGGAGAGGCACACACTGCAAGATGCTTGAAGTCCAGTGTGAGGTTTCCACAGTCTGTGTTGATTTGGGGAGCCATGTCATCTGCTGGTGTTGGTCCACTGTGCTTCATTAAGTCCAGGATCAACGCAGCTGTCTACCAGGAGATTTTGGAACACTTCATGCTTCCTTCCGCAGACCAGCTTTATGGGGATGCTGACTTCATTTTCCAGCAGGACCTGGCACCTGCCCACACTGCCCAAAAGCACCAAAACCTGGTTCAATGACAGTGGGATTACTGTGCTTGATTGGCCAGCAAACTCGCCTGACCTGAACCCCATAGAGAATCTATGGGGCATTGCCAAGAGAAAGATGAGAGACATGAGACTGAACAATGCAGAAGAGCTGAAGGCCACTATTGAAGCATCCTGGTCTTCCATAATACCTCAGTAGTGCCACAAGCTGATAGCTTCCATGCCACGCCGCATTGGGACAGTAATTGCTGCAAAAGGGGTCCAAACCAAGTACTGAGTACATATGCATGCCTACACTTTTCAGAGGTCCGATATTGTTCTATGTACAATCCTTGTTTTATTGATTGCATGTAATATTCTAATTTTCAGAGATTGTGGATTTGGGGTTTTCATGAGCTGTAACCCATAATCATCACAATTATGACAAATCATAGCATGAACTATCTTGCTTTACATGTAATGAGTCTATCTCATATATTAGTTTCACCTTTTAAGTTGCATTACTGAAATAAATGAACTTTTGCACAATATTCTAATTTTTCAAGTTTCACCTGTAAAGCCAAAACTTTATTTTTCATTTTGGATAGAGTAGGGAAGGGTTAAGAGCATTTATTTATATTATATATATATATATATATATAACATTTATTTTTAATTTTTTTTTTTTTTTTTTTGCTATCTGTGTTTCATTAGATAATTTCGCTTCACTCCGTGTTCTGTCAGTGTAACATTATGTTTTGCAAATAACACTGCTGTTTAGTACATAGGGATTTATGTATAAAAGTTCACTGACTGAATGTGTCAAAACTCTGCTGAAACTTGCTGTATTCTGTATAGCATCTCCTATACAAGCATTATCTATTCGTCATAATGTGTTTTTTTTCCCTATTATTTTTTTTATTAAAATTGATGGCATTGTGGCTGCTAGAAGGTGCTTACAGTCATAGGAGATTACACTGAATATAGCAAGTTTTGTTGCAACTCTGTGGATGTTATCACATTAATTCAGCAAACTTTTTTTATTCACAGACTACATAGTGGGGTGCTGGCTATTTCCTTAAATTGGATTTATATGCTGCCACTGTTGGCCACATATCTACTCTATTGACTTTAGGCATCAGTGCGGAACGAGATGTTCATTTTTACTTTGGCTATGATTGTCACCAGCATCCCCAAAATATTAATGCTACCCACTTTTGGGACATTCATACTGGAATTTATATGCTAAAGCTGGATCACTCAGAATCCCCTGCAGCTGTGCATGGTAGCCAGTCAGCTTCTAACTTCAGCTTGTTCAATTTAGCTCTAACAATAAAACCTGAAAGCTGATTGGTATTGATGCAGAAGTGCACAGGATTCTGAGTGAACCAACCTTAGTAAATAATACCCCCCCCCCCCGTGTCTGGTTTATAAGTGTGCACCTTTCCTTAAACAGCTAGTTATTGATTACTGAGACACACTGGAGGCCTTCAGCTGCCTTTGTGCCATGCTGGACTTCTAGTGCAGTCTCAGTACCTCAGGAAGAATTCGTTATTACTTGCCCTCTGGAAGATTTACACCCCTTAGCAGCCAGGCCATTTTTTGCTATACTGCACTGCGCTACTTTAACTGCCAACTGCGCAGTCATGCAATACTGTACACAAAAAATTATATCATTTTTTTCACACAAATAGAGCTTTCCTTTGGTGGTATTTGATCACCACTGGGATTTTTATTTGCGCTATGAAAAAAAAAGACCAAATAAAAAAAAACAAAACATTTTTTACTTTTTGCTATAATACATATCCTATAAAACAAAATTTCTTCATAAATTTAGGCTGAAATTTAAAAAAAATACCATTAAGTGTATATTAATTGGTTTGCGTGAAAATTATAGCATCGACAAATGATTGTACATATACTGGATTTTTTTTTATATTAGTAATGTTGGTGATAAACGATTGGAGGGTCCTGGCCATAAATCATTGTCCGGGACCTGCATGTTAGGGAGCAAATGACAGCAAGGGTAGGATGGTGCATGTGCCCCTACCTGGAATAGCAAAATCAAGTGTGTGTGTGTGTGTGTGTGTGTGTATATATATATATATATATATATATATATATATATATATAATTTTGCAAAGCCAGCCCAGTAAAGCTGCAGTGTACGGTCGGCAAGTGGTTATCTGCATTTAACACTTTTGCTGCGCTCGACGTACATTCTACATCCCCAGCAGTGGGGGTTTTACACACACTCCAGCTGCTTTTTTTTCTACTGCTGGGCTAATAGGACTATCTATTTATGGAAATATTTACTTTCCCATTTTTGGAGCCAAATCCTGCAGGAGGATGAAGGTAATTCTTAATGTTTGTTTCCCTACTAATGCTCCTTTAGATTTGTAGGAAGTGGATCTTTAATATCATCTCATGATCAACATTAGCGAACATATGCTAAGCATGCTCATAACAACACTTATAATTACATTGAAGTTAAACTTGTAAATTGATAAAAATCACACTGTGTGTTTACTTGCACTAGGTGCATTCATATTAGCTGTGTTTAGAGAAAATAGAATTCTGTGCATCCAAGGGAAGATTAGATACTCTGAACATGTCTAAATGTATGTAAGCCAAACTAAGATTAAATATGGGAGATTTTGATCGGGGAAGTACAAAGTCTATTTATACTTCCCAGATCATTTCTCCTGTGTTTATATACACCAAATGCAGGAGGCCAATGTGAATTTGGCACTTGGGAATCATGATGACCAGTTGGAGCGCCTTTTCCATAACTGATTCAGTATTAAAATATATATCTCATTGCATGTGATTCTATTCTCTTTTAGAAAGCACACGTGTTCTCGATGTATACCTGTTCCTCTTTGATGACTTGCTGCTGATAACAAAAATGAAACGCAACAAAAGGGTAAATGCATTTCTTTTGTATAAATCCTTAATTCAGTTTTCTAAAATCTATGCTGTTTACATACCTTTTCACAATGTATGTATGTAACTTGAAAAAGTAAGTACACCCCCTGGAAATTGTTGACGTTAAAATATTTGAACAAACATTAGATCTTCATTTAAACAGTGCCTACAGAAAATGATATACTTGGAATAAACAAAGAAAAATAGGCTTTGCAGTTATTTATGTGACAAAAGTATCAATAGATGTAATGATGTACTGTGAAAAATTTAAGTACACTCTCGGCCTCAGAAGCTGACATTGCCCCCTGTAGCAGAAATTAATTCTTGTCATTGTATGTAAGTGCCCATCATTCTCTGGCATTGACATCTGACATTGACTGTGATCACTTCTCCAAGCAAAATTCTTTCAATTGCAAGGTTTTCTGGATTTCCTTGCATGTTAAACATTTCAGTTGTATTTATCCTTAGTGGATTTGAGTGTGCTTGAGACTGAATGTTCCATTTCTTGTTCAACTTTGGGAAAACGGCATTACATTCTCTTCACGCAAAACTTTGATATGACGCAGACTTCACTTGTTGACTGCAAGCTGCTCAGACCTTGAAGCAGCAAAACAAGTCATAGCATTTCCACCATCATGCTTCACAGTTTTGAGGTTCTTCTTTTGAAATACTGTCTGTAGTGTGCAGCAATCATGTCTACTCTTGCAGTGATGAAACAACTGTACTGTTTTTTTTTTTTTTTTTTTAGAGCTGGCAGTTGGCTCTGTTGTACAAGCAGCAGGAGGGGACGTCGTCTCCCTCCCACTGCTCTTTTGGGAAATTCTCATTCCATCGGACAGCTGAACAAAGCCAGAAACAGCTCTCCGGTATTGTAAACCGGAACCAATGACCTGACATCACTTCTGGTTTACTTGGAAACTTTCTGCGCCATTTGTAAAGATCTGAAACACTGATCTTGGTGTTTTAAAAGTGCAGAGGAGGCATTTAGGGGTCTCATAGACCCCAAATTCCTCCATAAAAATACCTGTCACGTGTCCATTGCTGTCACAGGGGATGTTTACTTTACTTGTAACAGCAATAAAGGTGATAACATTTTTTTTTAAAGTTACAGTGTAAAAGTGAGGTCCGTACTCGAGTGCAAAGGCGAACGCACACGGCGGTCCGGCACGCACACAAACAGCAATTTTCCCAGGTATTGCTGCGACCATCAGATCAGAGGCAGTAATTCTAGCACTAGACCTCCTCTGTAAGTGTAAAGTTGTAACCTGTAAAGGCTATGAATACTAAAATTTACGTTTGTCGCCGTTGCAAATGTGTGCGCAATTTTAAAGCGTGACATGTTTTACCTCATCTTTTTATATTTTACAAAAAATTGGGTTATGTATTGTGTTCCTTTGCAATAAAATTTAAAAAAAAGTGTATTTATTCCCAAAAATTGCGTTAGAAAAACTGCTGTGCGAATACCGTGTGACATAAAAATGCAAAACCCAGAAATGTATTCCCTAGGGCAGGGGTCTGCAACTTTTAAGACATAAAGAGCCACTTGGACCCGTTTCCAAAGGGAAAAAAAAGACTGGGAGCCGCAAAACCATTGCAACATTTAAAACAAATTGTCACTCTTTTTTGGTTTATAGCGTAAAAAATAAAAACCGCAGAGGTGATCAAATACCACCAAAAAAAGGTCTATTTGTTTGAAAAAAAGGACGCCAATTTTGTTTGGGTACAACGTCGCACGATCACGCAATTGTTAGTTAAAGTGACGCAGCGACAAATCGCAAAAAGCGCTCTGGTCATGAAGGGGGTTTAAGGGCCCAGTAAGCAAAGGGTTAATCAGGGCCACAGTGTATCGTCATAATCACAATCATAGCCTTCGGTAAATATGAGGGCCCAATGTAATCCAAATTATAAATACATTATTATATTATTGTCACTTTTCTATTAATATTTTTTTAACCCCCCCTCAGAACTACTTTTCATAGAAAACGTTAAATTAACTTACCTTTTTTTGTTCTTCACTCCCGCGCAGTGCTGTGTTCTTCTTCACGCTCATGCAACGCTAGCTCACGCTGGTTTCGGCTCTGTCACTCCTCCCCCTCGCACACAGGAGGCCTGACGTCTCCAGGCACTGTACTCATGGCGAGGCGGAGCTGAACCACGTTGAGTAGCTACGCCGTATAGTAATTCATCCCCCACGTATAATTCATCCCCCACGTAGTAATTCATCCCCCACATAGTAATTCATCCCCCACGTAGTAATTCATCCCCCACGTAGTAATTCATCCCCCCCACATAGTAATTCATCCCCCACATAGTAATTCATCCCCCATATCGTAATTCATCCCCACATAGTAATTCAACCCCCATATAGTAATTCATCCCCCCTATAGTAATTCATTCCCCATATTGTCTCAATTCACTTACCTTTGCTCCGCGCGTTCCTCTCGCTGTGTTCCCGCGCTGTGTTCCGGTCTTCAGGGCGGACTGTGAGAGGAGAGGAGTTCGTCACGCTGCCCCGCCTACATCCTGGCTGCCCCGCCTACATCCTGACAGCCAATGTTCCACGCTCCGCGGGCCGGATTAAGAGTCCTGACTTTTGAGGCGGCGCCCGCCCGAGAGGAGGGAGGGGAGCTGGCGCCCGGCACACAGAAGAGCCGCATGTGGCTTGCGATCCACGGCTTGCCGACCACTGAAACCCTATTGCCTGTCACCGGGTGGGCAGTGTGCTCTGGAGCCGCAGCAAAGATGAAAAAGAGCCGCATGCGGCTCTGGAGCCGCGGGTTGCCGACACCCGCCCTAGGGCCTCTGCTTTAAAAAATATATATAATGTTTGAGGGTTCTAAGACATTTTCTAGCAAAAAATACTTATATTAATATGTTAACAAAAAGTGCCAAAAATGGCTTAGAGCTGAAGTGGTTAAGCCATTGTGCATGATGAGAAATGTTCCAGATGCATATTCCCTAAAAAAAAAATGTTCTAATTATTGGCATGTACTGTTTTGAATGTGACAAGTATGCATTATCTGTAGGCACTAATTGAATGAAGATCTAATGTTTGCCTGTTCTGCTATGTTGAAAAGGCAACATTTTCATGGGATGTACTTACTTTTTCACACTACGTGCATATGTTGTGAAAAGGTCATTCCAGCTTCCTTGCAGTGCTACGATCTTTTCTGGTTACAGAGGCATTTATTTTTCTATGAGGGCCTTTTCCATACTTATTCATCCACAGTACTGCAAATATTTGTCCATTCATTATGTAGAGAGGGAGAAATATTCAGAGCACAGATTTTCTTTGGTGCAGATATGTTGAAGAAAGTGCACAACATAGCGTGATACATGTATATTTGTTTTACTGTTCACTTCAGTGGGTTTGATTAACTTGTAGCGTAGGAAAATGAAGCATGTCCTATATTTTAAAACCAATATAAAAAGTTAGGTCCATATATATTTGGACACGGCACAATTTTCATACTTTTGGCTCTGTATGCTACCAGAATGAATTAAACCAAAACAATCCAAATGAATTTGAAGTGCAGACTTTCAGCTTTAATTCAAGGGGTTGAACATAAATATCAAGTGCAAATATTAGGAACTGCAACCATTTTTATACACAGTTCCTCCATTTTCAGGGGCTCAAATGTAATTGGACAAATGAATATAATCATAAATAAAATGTTCATTTGTAATATTTTGTTGAGAATCCTTTACTGGCAATGACTGCCTGAAGTCTGGAACCCATGGACATTACCAAAGACTGGGTTTCCTCCTTTCTGATGCTTCGCCAGGCTCTAACTGCAGCTGTCTTCAGTAGTTCTTTGTTTGTGGGTCTTTCTGCCTTTAGTTTTGCCTTCAGCAAGTGAAATGCATGCTCAGTTGGGTTGAGATCAGGTGATTGACTCTACCATTGCAGAATATTCCACTTCTTTTCCTTCAAAAGCTCCTGGGTTTCTTTTGCAGTGTGTTTTGGATCATTGTCCATCTGTACTGTGAAGCGCCGTCCAATCAACGTTGCTGCATTTGGCTGAATATGGGCTGACAGTATATCTCTAAACACTGCAGAATTCATCCGGCTGCTTCTGTCTTCTGTCACATCATCAATAAACACCAATGACCCAGTGCCACTGGAAGACATGCATGCCCATTCCATCACACTGCCTCCACCATGTATTACAGATGATGTTGTGTGCTTTGGATCATGAGCTGTTCCAAGTCTTCTCCACACTTTTTTCTTCATCGTCATTCTGGTACAGATTAATCTTAGTTTCATCCATCCAAAGAATGCTTTTCCAGAACTGGTCTGGCTTTTATAGATGTTTTTTTGTCAAAGTCTAATCTGGCTTTTCTGTTCTTCAGGCTTATGAATGATTTGCACCTTGTGGTGAACCCTCTGTATTTGTTCTTGTGAAGTCTTCTCTTGATTGTAGACTTTGACAATGATACGCCCACCTCCTGGAGAGTGTCCTTCACTTGTCTGGATGTTGTGAATGGGTTTTTCTTTACCATATAGAGGATCCTGCGATCATCCACCACTGTTGTCTTCTGTGGACTTCCATACCTTTTTATGTTGCTGAGCTCACCAGTGAGTTTTTCTTTCCTCAGAATGTACCAAACTGTTGATGTTGACCACTCCTAATGTTGCTGCTATCTCTCTGATGGATTTGTTTCCTTTTAACCTGCTTAACTGATGAAATAACGAAGGAGTAGCCCACACATGGCCATGAAACAGCTTTTGATTCAATTGTCCAATTACTTTTGGTCCCTTGAAAAGGGGGGGATAACTACTCTTAAGAGCTGTAATTCCTAAACCCTTCCTCCAATTTAGATGTACATATCCTCAAATTAAACCTCTGAGAGTGCACACTTTCAGCCCATATCCATTATATAACTATAGCTTGAATATGTTTTGGTAAAAACCTGAAAAAAATTAAATTGTGCCTGTGTCCAAATATATATGCACCTAACTGTAGAGGTAAACTAGCCACATATGAATGAGTGGAATATCTAAATTTTAAATGCATTTTCATGCAAAGTGAGCGGCCTCTCACAACCTCTGTAGTGGGAGATTCTCTGGCCAGAGTAATCAGGCAAGTTCATTGCTCCAGCGATTAGAATTGTGAATATAGAATGAAAGTGGTATTAAACCCAAAATCAAACATTATATTGCAGCTTACCAACTCCTAGATGTGATGACTGTATCAGTTTCCTTTTTTTTAGTCTTTCTTTTATTTTGACCTGATGAACTGGCCAGTAAGTATGTTGTTTTTCAACAGAACGAACCCTCCTGCAAATGTAGCAGTTAAACATGTTGGGACAAACCATTTACCACTGATGGCTGCTTACAATGATCAGTTGTTGTTTATTCATGTACAAGCTTTATCCCAAAAAAAAAAAAAAACATTTGCTGTAACTGGAGTATGCGCTGAAGTTTGTCTTCAATTTGTTATTGTATCTAATTCTGCTAGTACATCTAAAACAGCGCACCTCCCCACCAGATTACCAGTGCTGCTGTCCAAAGGTGCCCCCTGTGCTCCTTCATCTAGAGCGGGGAACTCTAATACAGGTGTGTTGCTGGCCGGATCACCTGGTGAAAATGGGAAAAAATAGCCTAAAAAAAATGAATGCAGCCACCATATCTAATGATAATGGTAATCTGCAATATAATACATAATTGGGGTTTAATATCGCTTTAAGACAATTACTGAAATTTGTGTTTGGTTAGGGTGGAATTCCAGCCCATCTCTTTTATGTGATGTAGAAATGTTTATAATCTGTCAATTGTGGGGCAATCCCAAGTTTAGGCAGTGAGATGGGTGTTTTTCACTCAATTATTACTTTTTATTAGTCTTGTGTTGTAAAGTCTTTTTTTTTTTTCCCCAGAAACCATCCAATATAGAAGCTTGTACTATGTACCCATCTTTACACCCAGAGCTGCAGCGCATAGTGAAAGAAGGTGGTTACTGCAAAGTCTTGGACCAGCCTATTCCACTAGACAGGCTAAGCATAAAAAGTATTGATGCCTTCCATGCTACAGGTACGAAAGTATGATTGCCCACAGTATCTGGTATTAGAAAGGACACAGGACTGACTCCTTCTGTCTTTAATAGTGTATGGAATGAGGAATGCTTTCCTAATCCAGCATGAGAATCGTTATCAGCAGTGTATTGCTGCCTTCATCATGCAAGCACATACTGAATCTGAAAAGGTTTGTCAAGCTTTTCTATTTTATAGTGTGATGCACCATAATTGATAGTGATACTGTTAAAAAACACTAATCAACACATTTATTACAGCTATAGGATTCTGTGTGCCAACCTAAACAGGGCCCAAATCTAGTTACTATGTGATAACCAAATCTCATAAACTAAAAAAAGAATCCCTCAACTCCACCAAGTGAGCCAAATCCTCCTTGATTGTGTTCCTCACTCTCCTCCTTCCAGACACTGCAGCTCACAATGGGAGGATTTCAGCAGCAGAGGCAGTGCTACTACCCACACCTGCTGCAATGTATTTTCATCCCACTGTAGTGTAAGCAAGAAAAGCCTACATGAGGGTGACAACATTGCTCTGAATTCAGGAGCAGTGCAGCAGTGTTGTCACCCCATCACAGGAAACTGTATGAGGTGGAGATCTCTGGCAGAACCTTTTTGTTTCCTTTTTAAGGATAAGTTCAAATAAAAAAATAATAATAAATGCACATTTTTTCCTCCTGCAGTTAACAAATGTGCATTTATAATTTTTTTTTTTTTTTTTTAGGAGCCTGTAAAGTATTGCACCCGTGGTCAGCAGGCTCCTGCAGATTGTTTGTGTAGCTGTTGGCCCATACCTCTGATATGGGCAGACAGTTACTGAATGACAGGAAGATCAGTGAACTAAATAGAGCTCTCATCAGCACCCTAGTAGTTCATTGAGAGATACAAGCAGACAGCAGCAAAAGGATGACAGTACTTGTAGTTCATTAAATCACAGAACTCTGGGAATGAATCATGCAGTCATGTGGGTGGAGCCTTGCACAGCCATGCTGTTTTTGAATTCTGACAGTGGGTGTGGGGAGACTATCTCTGGCCCGCTGTCACAGGGAGGGTGGGATTGGGGGGAGAGCAGACAGATGCTGCACATGTTGCACTTTACATATCCTTTAAATCTTGACAAGGAATGGTACTTACATTCAAGAAGAAATGCCCCTTGTGCTGATGGTTGCTGTCTTAGGGCATCTTCACACTGCTTGTGTTTTTTTTTTGTTTTTTTTTTAATATGATTAGAAATTCTAAACTGACAGCAAAAAGGTCAATAAAGTACATGTCCCTCATTAGTCACATACAGTCAGGTCCAAAATATTGGGACATTGACACATTTCTAACATTTTTGGCTCTATACACCACCACAATGGATTTGAAATGAAACGAACAAGATGTGCTTTAACTGCAGACTGTCAGCTTTAATTTGAGGGTATTTACATCCAAATCAGGTGAACGGTGTTGGAATTACAACAGTTTGCATATGTGCCTCCCACTTGTTAAGGGACCAAAAGTAATGGAACAGAATAATAATCACAAATCAAACTTTCACTTTTTAATACTTGGTTACAAATCCTTTGCAGTCAATTACAGCCTGAAGTCTGGAACACATAGACATCACTAGACGCTGGGTTTCATCCCTGGTGATGCTCTGCCAGGCCTCTACTGCAACTGTCTTCAGTTCCTGCTTGTTCTTGGGGCATTTTCCCTTCAGTTTTGTCTTCAGCAAATGAAATGCATGCTCAATCAGATTCAGGTCAGGTGATTGACTTGGCCATTGCATAACATTCCACTTCTTTCCCTTCAAAAACTCTTTGGTTGCTTTTGCAGTATGCTTTGGGTCATTGTCCATCTGCACTGTGAAGCGGCGTCCAATGAGTTATGAAGCATTTGGCTGAATATGAGCAGATAATATTGTCCGAAACACTTCAGAATTCATGCTGCTGCTTTTGTCAGCAGTCACATCATCAACAAATACAAGAGAACCAGTTCCATTGGCAGCCATACATGCCCACGCCATGACACTACCACCACCATGCTTCACTGATGAGGTGGTATGCTTAGATCATGAGCAGTTCCTTTCCTTCTCCATACTCTTCTCTTCCCATCACTCTGGTACAAGTTGATCTTGGTCTCATCTGTCCATAGGATGTTGTTCCAGAACTGTGAAGGCTTTTTTAGATGTCATTTGGCAAACTCTAATCTGGCCTTCCTGTTTTTGAGGCTCACCAATGGTTTACATCTTGTGGTGAACCCTCTGTATTCACTCTGGTGAAGTCTTCTCTTGATTGTTGACTTTGACACACATACACCTACCTCCTGGAGAGTGTTCTTGATCTGGCCAACTGTTGTGAAGGGTGTTTTCTTCACCCGGGAAAGAATTCTTCGGTCATCCACCACAGTTGTTTTCCGTAGTCTTCCGGGTCTTTTGGTGTTGCTGAGCTCACCGGTGCGTTCCTTCTTTTTAAGAATGTTCCAAACAGTTGTTTTGGCCATGCCTAATGTTTTTGCTATCTCTCTGATGGGTTTGTTTTGTTTTTTTTCAGCCTAATGATGGTTTGCTTCACTGATAGCGACAGCTCTTTGGATCTCATCTTTAGAGTTGACAGCAACAGATTCCAAATGCAAATAGTACACTTGAAATGAACTCTGGACCTTTTATCTGCTCATTGTAATTGGGATAATGAGGGAATAACACACACCTGGCCATGGAATAGCCGAGAAGCCAATTGTCCCATTACTTTTGATCCCTTAACAAGTGGGAGGCACATATGCAAACTGTTGTAATTCCTACACTGTTGACCTGATTTGGATGTAAATACCCTCAAATTAAAGCTGACAGTCTGCAGTTAAAGCACATCTTGTTCATTTCATTTCAAATCCATTGTGGTGGTGTATAGAGCCAAAAATGTTAGAATTGTGTCAATGTCCCAATACTTATGGACCTGACTGTATGATACAGTGTCTAGTACAGTGAATGCTTAGATTTTTTTTTCTTTTTGTAATATGAAGCATTGGGCTTAGAATGTGTTTTATGTGGTTTAAATGATATGGCATCCATGACAGAAGGATTTATAAGGTCTGTGTTTACAATTTTCCTTTTGAGATAAGCCTGACACATTGTGAAAGCTGGTTACAAGAATAAATGCAGGCTCCTAGATGTACCTTTTAACAGCTTTCGGAGTCCTTAAACCTGCCGATTCCGACTTCTGGTAAAGCCTAGAGTTGCCCTTTCACCTCCCATGCTTTACTATTGGTAAGTAAGGGCAGATATCACAGTGATAAGTCAATAGGTAGGTGGGGGCTAGAGCTAGACTTGAAATAAAAACTACAACCCTTAACAAATAAGAGCAAGTCTGGATAAGTGCCATGCTTAATATTACCATGTTCTATATATTTTACAGAAGCAATGGATCTCACAAATAGAAACTGCCATTTCCTGTTACACTGAAGTTTATGAGACAAACAGATCTTCAGTATTTTGCTACCCTGCAGAGTCAGCTGAAATTTAATAGCATGTTGTGTATAGGATTCCTAAATTAACTTAATTGTTTTGTTTACTGTTTTTTATAAATATTTTTATTTGTACATTGTTTGTAAAATATAAAATTCTGATTAACAAAAAAAAAAAATCTACAGTGTTTGTTTTTAAACCAAACCTATTACCACTTGACCTTCGGAAGATTTTATTCCCATCATGACCAGGACATTTTTTGCTATTCAGCACTATTTTTACATTCTGTCACCATAGTGACACTGTAGTACGCTGGGTGGGAGGGGGTGGTTTTTTTTTCTTTAGTTATTGCTTATAACAGTGATCATTGTCACTGTTATAAGCAATACTTTTAACTGTCATGAATGGCTTCCATTCATGACAGTTAAAAGTATTGCTTATAACAGCTTGCTTACTATTACGATGCTGTAATTGGCTACAGTTAAATCACATGGTACAGTGTGCCAGGTATCATGGGATAGCTGTGGGCAAATCACAACATCACAATAGTAAGCAAGGTGTCCTCTATGGAAGCCATCAATGACAGTTTTGCTTACATGTATTTGCTATGATTGGTCATAGCGGTCACGTGATACCCTGGCCACTTACAGCGGCAGAGTACCAAACACCATGATCCGCTGAACACAGCATTGTGCACTAGTGCGTTGCCTAGCCTGGACAGGCAGCAAGTGGTTAAATGTTTTTTTTTTCTAATATTGTGTTTCACAAAAGCTAAGAAATTTAGAAAAGTGTTTGTGGACTAAATATGTGTACCAAGAAACTTAGTATTTAAAGAAATCCACAGGCTAGAACATGGATCTTACAGTGAGGAAATGAAACAAATTCAAAGTAAAGTTAGTTTTTTTTTCCTCTGCATCATTTTATGTTGGAGGCATGGATTTTCACCAAAATGCTGTGAAAGAACATAGCAGCCTTACTTGCTTATATTCCAGCAGTCAGCAAATAGCCATCCGAAGAGTGAAGATTCTTTAGCAGTGATCTAGCCTTATTCAAACTGGACCATTCTCATACCTGGAGGCAGAAGTGTAGGCAAATATAAACTGTGGGATTTATTGTTTGGTCAAGGAGCAAGTGATATCAGCAACTCTAAGCTTGGTGTATCAACTGAAACTATCCTTTACGGCAAACTGTAGTTTTCACTCGTATTTTAGAGCAAGTCCGCCCAGAACTGATTTTTCAGGTTTTTTTTTTTAAGCTGCTGGAGAAGATTTAAGCACCTGACAGATTTTTATCTGTTGGGGAATCCTGTGGTGAGATACAGTTGTGCTCAAAGGTTACCCTGCATACCCTGGCAGAAATTGTGAAATTTTGGCATTGATATTGAAAATATGACTGATCATGGCAAAAAATGCTCTTTTATTGAAGGATGATGATCATATGAAGCCATTTATTATCAAATAGTTGTCTGGCTCCTTTTTAAATCATAATGATAGCAGACATCACCCAAATGGCCATGATCAAAAGTTTGCATACCCTGGAATGTTTGGCCTTGGTACAGACACACAAGGTGACACACACGGGTTAAAATGCCAATTAGAGGTTAATGTCCCACATCTGTGGCTTTTTAATATGCAATTAGTGTCAGTATATACATAGTCAATGTGTTTGTTAGCTCTTACGTGGAAGCACTGACTAGGCTAGATACTGAGCCATGGGGATCAGAAAAGAACTGTCAAAAGTCCTGCATAACAAGGTAATGGAACTTTATATAGATAAAAAGGACATAAAAAGATGTCTAAAGCCTTGAATATGCCAATCAGTACTGTTAAATCACCTATTAAGAAGTGCAAAGTTCGGGGATCTCTTGATACCAAGCCAAGGTCAGGTATACCAAGAAAGATTGCAGCCATAACTGACAGAAGAATTGTTCGGGATACAAAATGGAAACCCATAAATAAACCACAAGAAAAATACAGGCTGCTCTGGAAAAAGACAATGTGGTTGTTTGAAGGAGCACAATATGACACTTGAACAAAAATGAGCTGCATGGTCGAGGTGCCAGAAAGAAGCCTTTACTGCATCTTTGACATGCGTAACCAGGCCTTTTTGTGTCATTGATGCAGTAAAGGCTTATTTCTGGCACCTCAACCATGCAGCTAATTTTTGTTCAAGTGTCATCATATTATGCTCCTTCAAAACAACCACACTGTCTTTTTCCAGAGCAGCCTGTATTTTTCTTGTGGTTACCTATGGGTTTCCATTTTGAATCCCGGACAATTCTTCTGTCAGTTATGGCTGCAATCTTTCTTGGTCTACCTGACCTTGGCTTGGTATCAAGAGATCCCGAACTTTCCACTTTTTAATGGGTGATTTAACAGCACTGATTGGCATATTCAAGGCTTTGGACATGTTTTTATGTCCTTTTCATCTATATAAAGTTCCATTACCTTGTTACGCAGGACTTTTGACAGCTCTTACGTGGAAGCACTGACTAGGCTAGATACTGAGCCATGGGGATCAGAAAAGAGCTAACAAACTCAATGACTATTTATACACTGACACTAATTGCAATTTAAAAAGCCACAGATGTGGGACATTAACCTCTAATTGGCATTTTAACCCATGTGTGTCACCTTGTGTGTTTGTACCAAGGCCAAACATTCCAGGGTATGCAAACTTTTGCTCAGAGCCATTCTCCCTCCTAGATTGTAAGCTCCAAGGAGCAGGGCCCTCCTATCCCTCTTGTATTGAACTGTATTGTTGCTGTATTGTCTCCGTTATATTGTAAAGTGCTGAGCAAACTGTTGGCGCTATATAAATCCTGTATAATAATAATATATAGATATATACCTCTTAGATTGTAAGCTCCAAGGAGCAGGGCCCTCCTATCCCTCTTGTATTGAACTGTATTGTTGCTGTATTGTCTCTCGTTATATTGTAAAGTGCTGAGCAAACTGTTGGCGCTATATAAATCCTGTATAATATTAAAAATTTGGGCGATTTCTGTTATTATGATTTAAAAAGGAGCCAAACAACTATTTGATAATAAATGGCTTCATATGATGATCATCCTTCAATAAAAGAGTGAAATTTTGGCATTGATATTGAAAATATGACTGATCATGCCAAAAAAATGCTATTTCTGCCAGGGTATGCAAACTTTTGAGCACAACTGTTTATAAAAGTATATATCAGACCAAAAGTGTATAAATAAAATATGTTCATTGTCAAAGTTTACAGACACTTTAAAAACAACAATTTCAGATGTGCATGTATGATATGCTTTAGGCCTCGTTCACACCATACATGCAGAAATATGCATGGAAACTGATGTGCAGATTTCACTTGCACAGACATCAGTTTACATGCACGCTACAATGACTTTTAATACTCATTGCAGATTCCTGTGCAGAAAAAAAAAATCTGCACACGATACCAGTTTTGTGGCGTGAACAGGGCACATAAAGAACAATTGATTTTTATGTGCCCTTGCAGAACGCATGCAGAAAAACTGACGTCTCTGCACTGTGGTGTGAATGAGCCCTTACAGTAAGACTGGCCATACATTATACAATTTTCTTTTAGATTTAACAAAACCATATAATATGAGGTCAAACCTAAACACTTTAAATTTGTATGCAATCAGGCAGGCCTGTGCACTACATAGCTGAAGGTAAATCTAAAGGAAATAACAAGAAAATGTACAGTCAGCTCAAGTCCTTACACATCTGATTACGGTTTTGATTGCAAGTCAGCAGGTTAATTAATAGGCTGCTTCTAAAAACTGTGGAGCCCCAAAATGAAACAGTACATAATCGGTTAAGGCAAGGCACAAGGAGTTGTTAGAAAGATCTATTTTTATTTACCATTTGTTTTACAGATTAGAAAACAAATAACATTTGAACAAGCATCCTTCCACTCCACACCAACAGCTGCAGGATGTCTACTTACAGATACATCTCCATTGTAAATGCACACCAGATTACAGTCTCTCACAACATAAGGCACCACTACATGATCACAAGCTGTAAACATAACATTGAAAAAAGGGCATAGAAAAACCAGGTCAAATACTCATGCAAAACCGTGTACACATACTCTGTATGATCCAGTTTACAAAGTGTAGTTTAATGTGCATAAAGTTGCATTGCAAAGATCATCAGAAATTAAATCTCACTAAAGTGCGTAAGAACATAAAAAGCTTCACAGAGGTGGAAAACACTTTTTCCATGCCAATTTATGTTCAGGTTCCCCTTTACTCCAGAACAAAGACCAAATGATGCGGCTAATACTGCTGCCTCAAAGCTTTAATATTGCTGGTTTGTTCCTCAAAGGTTTATATTACTTGGCAATATCTTTGTTTGCCCAAACACAGACCACGTCACAAGGGGCCTTAAGCTAGCCATACACTATGCACATTTCAGCTGGTTCCTGTTTAAAGAGGAGTTCCACCCAAACGGGGAAGTTACACTTTAATGCTTTGTCCCCTGCTCCCCATTAAGGATTGGCACCTTTGGGGAGGGGGGGGGGGGGGCAGTGGGTACCCAAATTTGACAGGTACCAGCTACCACTTCTGCTGCGATCGCCTAGGTGATCGGAAGCGGTTGTCGTCCTCCCTCCCTGTAGTCTTCTGGGACACATGACAGGTCCCAGAAGACTACGGGGCCATTCACAAAGCACTGTGCTTCTTGCGCATGTGCAGTGGGTACCTGGCTGTGAAGCCGCAAGCTGTCACAGCCAGGTGCCCACACTAAAGATGCCAGCGCAGGGGAAAGAAGACGACCGATGGTCCAGCAGTGTCCTCACCACCGCTGGTTTCGAGGGACAGGTAAGTGGCTGTATTTTTAAAGTCAACAGCTACAGTTTTTGTAGCTGCTTTTTTTTTTTTTCCGGCTGGAACTCCGCTTTAAGTGGATAAACTTCACTCCATGGGTGGCCCTGTTGACACCCTCCTGTCCTGAAGGCTGAACAAATAAAATCTAAGCGTGTATGGCCACTAAACCCACCAATTTAGTTGTTTTCATAAAACTGTTACAATCAAGGCATGCTGTGAATGAT